AAAAGAGTGCACATTACCTGGGATCCTCTCTGAGACTCTACCGTGACCCATCCATGCCTTCTCGGCTCTGATATCCGTGTTATGCCTCTGCAGCGGGTTGGAATTTTTGACCGGCCTGGCCGCCCAAGTGACTGTAGGAAACTTCGCGAACATAACATCGGCCACCTGACGGCACTGATCAGCTTCTGCTCGAGCAAGACGTAGCCCTCCAGGATCATAGTCAGACGAATTAGATTGGCCAATACCGCGAGTGTGTTCCTCCCATGAACGTCCGCCAGGTTGGGTTGACGCCGTAGAAGCTACTGAGGGCTGAGATGCAGCATGAAGATGTGGGCGCTGCAGGGAAACCACCGGTTGTTGAGTTGTACCTCGTCCAGTACTAATATTCCCGGGGGCGAAGGCCGGACGGGGAGAGGCTCGAACCGATCGCCGCCATGGTCCGAGTCCTAGAATTTATATTTCCCCAACACACACAGAACCAAGGCAGACTCTGCGACCGAACAACCTCCTAGCTGCTGCCGCTTGCCCCCAACTGCAGCACCCATCGGCTAGATTCTAGCCACTAGAATCTCAATCCCCAGTACCTCCATTCCCATTGAACAGCATATTCGCATTTCATGCTCGGTTTTACTTTGTCCACTCCTCAGCAAACTGTACGAGAGTAGCCCCAAAAATAAAGCTCCAAAGAAAAACATTACCAAACTACAACCTGTATACTCAGTAAAGCCGATTTGGCAGTACGAAAATGGATAATCTAAAATTTCGCGATCGAGAGCTACTCAAAACTTTCCCAACCGTTCCCAGTTCAGCTCCGAATGTAGCCGATAAACTTACGATTCAACATAACGCAATCACTTCGTAAGAAACCAAAACCTTCCGCATAGTTGATCTTCTTAAAAACATCTTGCGCACTTGCAAATCCTTTAGCAAAGATTTGCCCTGAGATATCAACCTCAGACGACATTGTGAAACCGTTAAGGCGAGCGAATGCTCTGCCCTGCAAAGGCGGGCATTGCCCTGAAAAAAAGAGTGAAGGTCTCCCAAGAGAGCAAGTTCACGGATAGCCGAAAGACAGATGACGGAATTTCAAGAGAAAAGCAAGACGTCAAGTCGTTGCTAAAGCAGTGATCCAGTCTGATCACCTTCGGACCACACACCCAAGAACAGAGAAAGTTCCCCCAGAGTGCTTGAGAATTCCTGTTGGAAACCCTCAAGCACTCTTAGTTAGGCATCAGACGAGCTATCTTGGGTGTGACGGTGTTTATTTTTTTTCCTCTTTTTTTCTTCCTTTCAGTCTTCTTGGTTCTTTCCTTTCATCCCTTTGCTTCTTTTCTTCAGGTTCATCGAATATCGTGTATGAAGTGGCAGGTTTAAGACTAATTTTTCCATCATTGTGCGGTTTCACTTAATATGTTGTGTTTTAAGCACTGACTGGGACTTGGTAGGGAACCAACGTGGCCCAGTCATGTGTCGCCCTGAAGTGGCAGGTCAAATATAGGCTGGGCTTACAGCACCGACCTATGGCGTAGGGTCCGAACCATTGGGACGTCAACGAATTGTTGATAACAATATCACATGGTCGACACCATGATTGAGTCACTCCCTCAGTGGCCGGATGGTGGGGTAAAGAACGACAAGCGGAAGCTGTCGTGACTCTCGAGGTGGTCTCGAGCAGTAGCCCTGCCGGGATCATCCCGGCAGGATGTTAGTCTCATCATGAGACCTGGGTTCTGTGCGTCTCTGTCTCGGGGTTAGACCAAGCTGATACCCAGACTCTGGGTCCCAGAGTTGATCGGGCTTGAGTGGCTCTACGAGTTTAGGACGGCCGCCTCGCGTGGCTGACCACTCGTCGACTTGCCTCCGTGTCCGCTCAATCTCTCGTTGCCCTAGAGACAGTGACTGCGACACTGTGTTCTCCACCGAGGCTCGGTGACCGAGCTGAGGACCTTAGCTTAGCGTGCCAGGCTAGGCAGAAACTCTGCCACAGAATTCAGCTAGACGAGTATTGGGTCATGCTACGATTTACTTGAGCTGGTCGCAGATTGTTTTTATATGTCTACCACGCCCAGCACGCCCGACCTCTTCCGCGAAGTTTTCCCCGACTTGGCTGAGAAAGCGTCGACTGTTCGTGTCGACATGGGTATTAGTACTGTGGGTGTGCTCGAGGCGGCCCTGGAGGACAAGGAGCTGACCGACGAACTATTGAGAAGGTGTGCATATGGGGGACTCGACGGAGAGTCCGAAACAACCACTATGACGGAGGTAGCCGATGCGAAGTCTGCCAGCTCATCCACCAAAAGTCCCGGTACTGCCAGCGAAGTCGTCGATGCCAACAAAAACTATGGTGGTGGTGGTGTCGTCGTGGTCGAGATCTTCTCGAAGCTGAGGAAGACACGGTTGCTTATCTGAGCCGGTTGCTCTGGTTAGCGAGGTCACGATCGTTCGAGGCAGCAGTCGAGTGTGATAAGGGTTACAGGCTGGCCTTGCCACAAGGGGTCACCCGCCTGCGGGACACTGACCCTTCTCTCCAGTCGACTCTGCCCTCGGTACCTATTTAAGATCCATCAGTCTCACGAGTTGATAGCTGTAGCCTTGGCTGAACCGGCGGTGAGCCA